ATAATGTTACACCTACGATTGATCACTACCTAGTTATTAGAAGGATCTGCCATAAATAAACGGATGAATAAATTATATTATTTTAGTTATTTTGTTTGGAAAATTTTTGATGGTTTTTTGATGATTTGTTGATGTGATTAGATGTCGCGCACCATATATTCAATGTTTTATACTAATCTTAATTAAATCTATTAAATTAAATCTATTAAATTTATAAAGGAGTAAGCCAAGTTTTTGTTGCAAACATTGCAAAAAATGTAGATTGTGCAACTAATCAATCGATACCATATAGCGTTCCCAAAACCGTGGGTCCTGAGGCTACTTGCTAGTATGTATATACATACATTCATAATGTTATCTCAATTAGTCATCTCAATTAAATCTGTATTAACTTAATAATCTTAATAATCTTTATAATCTTTATTAGCTTCATTAAATACACTGATACAACTAATTCAAGTAATGTCTTTTATTCGGCCTTATTTACTATCAAAGGAATAACTGGCTCCAATTTTGATCCTGCAACTGTCTGTAATGCAAATTCTACCACGGCCAATGCTGCTCCCGCCAATGCTACTCCCGCCAGTTCCGCCACCAATGTCGCTGGTAATGCTGTAGCTACTCAACCACCTACTGTACCTCCCGCATCCAAACCATCTTCTCCAGCTAACTCCGCTCCCGCATCAAAAGCTAACTCATCACCTACCGCATCAGGAACACTTAAAGCCCCCACTCCTGCTTCAGCTTCAAGTGGCGATTTTAATCACCCAATTTCTAATTTTGCTGGATTATCTTTGGCTATTATTGCTGTTGCCTTAACGTTGCTTTAAATTATAACATATAAAATGTATAAAAATTTTTATTTATAAAATAAATAATAATAGTAAGAATAAATTAGTACAATATTAGATAATCTATTATTATGTAATTAGAAATATAGTACTTTGATTAAATTAATTTTGTAAAAGTTATGTGCACAAATTAACTTTAAAAAAAAAAAATTAATAATCTAGTTTTTAACAAAATTTTTCTTTGTGATAATCTTTGTGGTCATTCTAAAAATAATTTTATTATTTAATAAAATCGGGTGATATAAAAATTTTTTTTTAATTTATTATTTAACCTAAAAATTAGTAAAATTTATTCGCTACCGCTACAGTAAATAACGATAATATGTTACTTTTAAAAACAAATCATTAATCTTGTGATTGTTATAAATTAATTACAAACAAAAACAGTTAAGTTTTTAACATACCATTAATATCGATATATGATCTTCCTCTGGCTGGCACATCGGTTTTCTGTGCCAGGTTTGTCGATCATTGT